CAATGAGGGAGTTTTTCTTTTGCTTTTCAAGGAGAGGAGCAAATGGGGGGGAGGGGGGAGGGGTTTGTGCGGGGAGAAGGGTGCAACAATGAATGAATGAATGGAATCCCAAAATATCTGTAGATGTTCATTGAAATGAAAAATAAACAACCTAAATTTAAAAAAAAAAGGGGGGAGGAATGGATGTTGAGACCTTGTGTGATGTATTTAGTTATATTGATGGAATTTTAATGTTTTGTCACAATTTAGGAAGGATCTAGAGCTTGTTATTAGATGCCATCAAGTCAAGTATGACTCACAATGATCCTATGAACAACAGATCTGAACCCTGCCCTATCCTGTGCCATCCTCACATCTCTGACGCACTTGAACCCATGGCTGCAGTCACTGTGTTAATCCATCTCATTAAGGGTCTTCCTCTCTTTTGCCAGCCGTGTACAAAGCATGTGAGATGAAGCTTCACCATTCTTGCCTCTGAGGAGCACTCTCGTTGCACTTTTCCCAAGACATTTCTTTTGGAAGTCCGTGGGATATGCAGCACTCTTCTCCATCACCACAACTCACAGGCATCAGTTCTTTTTCTGTTATTCTTATTCATTGTCCAGCTCTCAGATCCAGATATAGGTACATTTTAAAGCCTAAGCAAATTGGGGACATGAGGGGTAATGACAATTGTCACAAATGAAGTACAAGAAAAGAATAGGACATTACATGACTCAAAAGTGTTTTTATCTACTATAATAAACATTAACTTGATTTAACAAAGTATGTGATGTGAGAAGATAAGGGAGGAGTATGTGTGAGCAGACAAAATTAAGTCTTCATATTGAATAAAATGTCAACGTGTAATGTGTTGGAGAAGAGAGAAGAGTGATATAAGAAAGTTTAATTCTCATTTTTCATAGTAGGAACATAGATGATTTCTAAAATTGGACAAGGGGAAAAATAAGGACTGTTAACCTAAGTGAGTTACTAGAAATATGAAGGTAAAGAGGGGACTACTGAGAGGGGTTGCCACTGAATAGCAAAGAACTGCTGTTTATTATGCACTTTCTAGTACCTTGGACTTTTAAATGGTGCACATATTTTAATAATAAAAATTATGTATATAATACATGGGGAAGCTCTGGGCGCCTAAGGGTAAGGAATTGTGCAGCCAGCCCAAAGGCATGCACTTCAGATCCACCAGCTGATCCACAGGAGAAAAGAATCCCCCTGGGTTGTTTACTGCCTCTGAAAACCTGGTGGAGAATCAGCTATTAGTCAGCTCCACCTCCATCGTACATAACAACAAAGACATATGGAATTCTTTTTTCTAAGTTTTATGTGTTGAAAATTGTGTGATAGCATTTCAACCTGTTATCAAGTGGTCTTAACCTTTATTTTTGTGCCTCATCAGCTCTGTGACCTTGAGCAGAATGCTTGCCTTGCTGGGTCTTAGTTTCTTCATCTGAAAATGGGAGATTGGAAAACATGAGGGGCTGTCTAAGCTTTAGTAGCCTAAGGTACTATGATAGAAATAGCAGTGCTGTGCAGCAAATGAAGAGTTAAAACCAGGGTGGAGGCCTGAAAGTCCCACATTTTCCTATTTTTGCTTAAAATAAAACTTGGAGAGACATTTTCATTGTGGTCTCTAAAAAGAATTCAACACCCACCTTCCATTGTGGGACCTGGGGCAGCCAGTTGGCTGTGTACTGCCCCGAGACACATAGCTTGATGTTAGTTCAGCATGGGGTTTTTTTATATTTAATATTTTTCAGTATGAATCACAGGTGAAATTTCCATGCCCATGTGTAAACAATTTCACTTTTTATGGAAACAATGAATTCAGGAATGCCATATTGCGATATCAGCCATTTTGTTTGTGTCAATGTATGGAAAAAAATACTTTTATATTAATACACGGAATGATGTCATTTAATATGGGGTAGATCTTATAATTCAAGGTCAGGTAATCTCAGGTGGTGATTTAGGTCACCAAGCTGGCTTTGGAAAAGCAAAAGAATGTTTTCCTCCTTGTTTCTGTGAGAAAAAAATTTTTTTTCCCTCAGACTTTAGGCTAGATGTTAGATCACGTTGTTTGTGAAGAGGATGACCTGGTTAATAACAATAACTTTGCCACCAAACCATGTCATCCTGCAGCATATGCCGCCTCATTCTGGCCTTTGGTTTCTCATCTGAAGGAAAAATTGGCTTAAACACTATTCGAGAGCCTTTTTAGCTTGTATGTTTGGTATTTCTGTTTCTCTGCTTTTTTGTATGTATTCAGACCTTTCAGGAGACCCAGCTGGATTTTGGGTTTTGCTTAAAAAGCTCAGTGTCTGTGAGTGAGCCTCTGTGCTAAATGTCATTCATGCTCAAGGAAGTAAAAGATACAAACTGATACAAATAAAAGGAAGCAACATATAGAGAGAAAATTGTTCAAAAGTTTCATTTCCATACTTTCACATTCCATGTCTCTTTGCAGTTGTAAACGAGGATACATTTAAAGTGGAGTTCTGGTGGCACAGCCGGAGCTCTCAGCCGCAGGCCTGAGGCTCCCCACCAGCCACTCCACGGGAGACGTAACGCAGCACTCTCTCCCATAAAGACCATCACCGCCTTGCAAAGCCTTTTGGACGATTCTGCTTTGTCTTATTATGAGTCAGAATCAATTCAGGGACAGTCTTTTTTGAAAAATACCTTTTTTCCAATTTTTTATTTTATTTTATTCATTTTAATGAAGCACTTTTGTTGTATTGTTTCATTTGAAAAATGCGTTTACAGAGGACAGTGTAAAGTTGTGTTATGTTTGATGGATATATGTATGAACGTTTATATACATACACACATATGCTTTACTTCTATGTTATGATCCATTAGGAAGCATGTCGTGCTCAGAGGCCATGAAAGGAGGCAAGAAACATGTAACAAGTTACCAAAGTGCATAAAAAGACAATTTTAGAAAACTAGTGTCTGGCAGAAATAAGTTACTTTTAGAGTAAGTCTAGCCTAAATACCAATAGTTTCCTCATAAAAACTCTTCAGCCATGTACTCTGGTTCTGGGAGAAGAGGGAAAGAAATTAGAGGTACGAGAGAAGTACAAGCACAGCCTTTGTCAAAAGTCACTTGTTATTTCTTTGCTTATCACACACTGACTGGGCACCAGTGCTGTCAGACACCCCTGAAAATTCAGATATTCTAGCTCAGGACAACCTCATGTGTGTTGGAGTAGACTATGCCCACAGGGTTTTCCATGTCTGATTTCCCCCTAGAAATAGCTTGTTATGTCTTTCTTCTGAGGCACCTCTGACTAGACTTGAACCTCCAAAGTAGCCAAGAACAGATCATTTGCTTTAACCTGACACTCCAGAAGACGAAGAAGCTGCTTAAGTGTCATCCCAACATTGTGGTTGTGGAGATTAAAATCATACATTCACATTTCTTCCTTCAGAACTCAAAAAATAACTTGAGTGGACACATTTTTTTTGGAAGCATCACCTAGGATCTCTGTGTGAGTTGCTTTTGATTCTATGTTTTCTTCCTTTGCAGTTAAGATATCAGCATGGACTGGGAACTCCAGACTTGAGACAAACCCTTCCTAACCTGAAAAACTTCATGGAGCATGGACTAATGGTCAGGTGGTGAGTATCTTTATCTCTGGCAACAGAAACTAGTTTTGGATAATGTTTTCTGAGAAATTTTTCCTGCCTTCCACATTGCTTCACATTTGCCTCTGTAATGAGATCTCTCAAGAAAAGAAAAGGCAGCAACATACTGTATAGTTCGAAATTCTAGTCTTGCGCAGAGGGGATGTTTACCTTAGAACTGAAGAGATATTGTTTGTTATTTGAGGATGGATTAGACTAGAAATTCTTGACTGTATTACTGAGGCAGAGTCTGTATGACAGCATTTGATCCATAGGAGAATAAGGACATAACTATAGAATAAGCATCAGGCATTTGGCTGTGAGAGTTAAGAGAAGAAAGGAGATGTGGAGAGTGTCCTGTATGATCAGGACTTAGTTTACACCAGGAGACACATGCTAGAATATTTCTTGTATTTGCTGCTGATGCCTTTTATACAGTGAGGAAAGCAAGCTGTTACTTAAGTGTTTTGACAGAATAGACAGGCCCCTTTTATAAAGCAGGAGGCAGGGAGCCTGAATGAAGCAAAGAAGACATTAGATTGATTTCCCTGACTTAAATAAAAGGAAAGCTATTGAGTTTATCCACTTAGTGATTCTTAAAGTTTGACTCCTTGGATAATGGACAGCAATTTACCTCATGTGAGTGGAAACCAGGCTTCTAGAGGTGGACAGCTAGGAGTAGAACAAACTTTTGGAAGGAGCACACTGGCTTCTGACCCAGGCAGTTTTTCTAACCTTGACTGACCAGCCACATGTGGCCAGATAATTGCTCTTCAGGAACCCAGACAGGACTAAGTCAAAAAGGCTCCAAAGGAAAGTGAGGGAGAGGGTGGATAGAGGCCAGAAGTGTTACCCCCAGCTCATGTTCCTTCACTGGACAGGGAAAAAGATGCTCCCTGTATTCTTATCTGAGGGGTTAGAATCCCACTGTACTTACAGTCTCCTGCATGACTATTTTGCTTTCCTTGATTTATGAATCTTAGGTGGTGATTTCACAGCTTTATTGTATTGGATCGTCCTATCTCTGAACCGTAGTATTGCTGTTTTCTTCTTTTGGGTTCTTTTTTTTTTTTTTTTAAATATACCTCGCTTTAGTTTTATCATTTTCTTCATAAAGGCTTTCCACATCTTTTCTTAGATACTTAGTCTAAATCTAATTGACTTGAATTGTTGTTGGATAGGATTTAGGAATACCATTGATTTTTGTGTTTTGAGTTTACGTCCTACAATCTTACTAGTCATATTAGTTATGGAATTTTGTCTTAGATCCTTGTGGATTTTCTGTGTGGGCAACTTGAACCACATTTTATTATCTTATTAGCAATAATAGTGGAAATCCTTGTCATGATCCTAACTTTATAGAGAATGCTTCCCCACATTTTATTGAAGGTTTTGGTAAATATTCTTTGTCAGAGAAAGAAAATGTCTATTCTCTACTTACTACGAGTACTTTTTTAATCATTAGTGTCTTTTGACTTTTATCAAATGCTTATTCTATATTTACTGATATAATAGTATAATTTTTTTTCTCCATTAATATGTTCATGTGTTAATTTTAATAAAATATCTAATGTTAAATTACCTTTGTCTCCTGAGATGAACGTCACTTATTATTGTTGTTATGTGCTCTTGAGTCAACTGTGACACATAGCAACCCTGTGAACAATGGATCTGAGTGCTGCCTTATCCTGTGCTGTCCTCATCATCTCTAGTGTACCTGAACCCATTTTTACAGTCAGGCTGTCAATCCATCTTGTTGAGGGTTTCCCTTTCTTAAATTGAACCTCCACATTTCCAAATATGGTATCTTTTCCCAAGGACTGACTTCTCCTAACACCATGCTCAAAATATGTATGATGAAGCTTCGAGAAAGGAGCACCCTGGTTGCAGTTCATCCAAGACATATTTATTAGTTCTGTTGGCATTCCCTGGGATATTCAGTACTCTTCTCCAGAACCACAACTCATTCTTCTACCACCCTTAGTCCAGTGTTCAGATACATAGCAAGTAATTGAAAACTTGGCTTAGTCATTATATATTAATGATTTAATTTGCACATTTTTTTAAAGAATGCCTCATCTAAGAACCAAAACTGGCCTACAGTTTTCATCCCCCTCATATACTTTGTCTTATTTGGGTCATAAAATAAATTGACCATTTTCTCCTGCTGTTCTTTGGAACAAGAAGCCCTGGTGACTCTGGTTTAGGTATTTGGCTGCTAAACAAGAGATAGGCAGTTCAAGTCTGAGCTTTTCACAAGAAAGTTGCATCAGTATGCCCCCATTGAAGATTGCATTCTGTGCACACTCCTGTAGGGTTACAGTGAGTGAGAATGAATTGTTGGCAGTAAGTTTTCTTTTTCAGGTAAGTCTCTGGGACAGATGGTGTGATGTAGAAATGGTATCTTAAAGTCTGTTGGAACTTACCAGAAGCCATGAATATATAATACAAGAGGGAGCTCTGGGGGCTGCCACTGTTGTAACAGGAAAAATATAGATTCTTAGCTGCATGTTGATTTCTATGATGCTATGGGTCTATTTATGTTTTGTTTTGACAATCTCTCATTAATTCAGTCCAGTTTTATTTCAGTTCCATCAGCCTGCTGAAATTCCTTTTATCTACCTACTCTGTTGCCAAACCTAAAGGTCTTGTTCCTGCCCTTATCCTGCCCCACATCTTGGCAGCATTTTGCTGTGATGGCCAATCTTTCCTTCTGGAAATAATCTTCTCTCTCATCTTCAATGTGCTGCCTCTCTCGGTTGTTCCCTTCTAGCTATTTCCTTTGTTTTAGTTGTTCCTCTTCTTGTACTTGATCTTTCAGTATTAGATGGAATTCTCCATGGTCCAATCTTAGACCCTTTTCTCATTGTCACTCTCCATTCAGTTTGAGGATGTCCCATTTGGGATTAAGGTACTCCTGGCCCAAACCATAGTAATTTTCAGTCGCCTCATATGCATATGAAAGTTGAGCAGTGAATAATGAAGACTGATGAAGAGTTGACACCTTGGACTTGGGATGTTGGAAAAAAATGTTGAATATACATGGACCGCCAAACGAAGAAACAAATCTGCTTTGGAAGAAGTACCACCAGAATGCTCCTTACAAGTGGTGATGGCAGGACTTCACCTGACACACTTTGCATGTTGCCAAGTGGGGCAGGTCTCTGAAGGAAAATATCATGAAAATGGAAGACCCTCCTAAGATGACTTGGCACATTGACTCCCTGAATGGGCTTACAAGCACAGCAGTGATTGTGAGTGTGGTGCAGGACTGGGCAGTGTATTTGTTCTCTCATTCACAGGCCGTGTGAGCCAGAACTCATTCTAAAGCTCATAGCAGCACTCTATTCCATGATTTCATCTCTTCCTATAGTTTTAAAAAATATCTATATGCTTATGGCTTCCAAGGTGATATTTTCAGCACAAATCCATCCTGCAAACTCTGAGTAGCCATAGGAAGTTTTCACTTGGAGAGGCAAAGACACTTCACCCTCAGTGTATCTAAAATTGTTCTCTACCAGTTTTTCTTTCAGTAAGTGGTACCCTGTCTTTCTAATTGATTGAGTCAGGAACTAGGGAATCAAGTTGGTGTGCTGCTGTTTACTCCCAGCTATTCCAGTCTCATTCATCAGCCAATCCTGCCATCTCTACCTGTAAAAAATTCCTATCAAATCTGACCACATCTCACCACCTCTGCTGCCACCAACCTGGTCTTAAGTCTTGCCTGGCACAGTTCACTCTTCACAATAGCCAGAGTGAGTGTCTTGGTTTTTTTTAAACGGACATAGCAAAGTAGGATTTCTTTTTCTCATTTTGAACTTTTCTGTTTAATTTATAATTGCATGCATATGTAGCAAAGACTGACAGTTATCCTCTAGTATTTATTTCCCCCTTTTTCTGCCCTCCGCCCATTTTTAACAAGGCTCTTGGCAAACCAGCCAGGAGCTGTATTCCCCAGCCTTTCTAACGAAAGCCAAACCCATTGCTGTAGAGTCAGTTATGACTCATAGCAACCTTCTCTCAGGTTTCCAAAGCTGTAAATCTTTACAGGAGAAGACTGTCCATCTTTCTCCCACATAGTAACTAGTAGATTCAGACCAACAACCTTATGATGAGCAGTCGACATGTTACTTAGTACTCTCTCGGGGCTCCTTCTCCTGTAACTACCTGAGGCCATGTGACCAAATTCTTGTAAGGAAAAGTGAACAGAAACAGGGTTTCAGTTACCTTAGTATTTCCTTATAGTAGAAATTGCTTGCCCTGTACCTCTTGGCTTTCCTCCCTGCCAACAGGCAGAACTTTGGCCACCTTTGGATGCATATATACATGAAGATTGAGTGTAGAGAATAGATATTATAGAGCTGAACCAGCATAACTCTTCCTCAGCTCCTCAAAGACTGTCACCTTGGAGAGAAAGAAACACCCATTTTTATGAGCCCTTTATTTTGGGATCTCCTTTTCTTGTGATTGAGTGAACATTTAAAGAGCAAATTGGTTTTCCATTTAGCCTTTCAGGCACACTTAGTTTTATGAAATGCATTACAGTACACAGTGTAACTGTGTTCTTCCTAATTCTTCCCAGTGAGTCTCACATCCGTTCATCTTTCTGTCCTGCCCTCCCTGCCTTCTGAGCTTTATCCCTGGGCTGTTGCTGCCCTTTTGATCCTGTGTGGTTTATTGTTCTGAGGAATGCATACCTCCCTGTGAATTGTGCATCTTACAGGCCTGACTGCTGTTTGACTAAAAGTTAAGCAGAGGAATGAGTCTTGTTCCAGGCTCAAAGGATGAAAGCAGACCACAATCTCAAGAGTTCTCTCAGTCTCTAACAGATGTAGTATTTTTAAATGTAACTAACTGTATCTTAACCACTCGCTGGTATCAGTGACTATCAACAAGTCTTAGTTCCTTACCTTGGACTGTTTGACTCCTTCCTCTCCCCACATCCCCTCTGATACCGCTCTTCCCGACTCTCCTGTACAGTAGCTATACTGGCC